TTTGGCCATCTTGGCCTCTGGCTTCACTTCTTCCAAAACGGATCTATTGGTGCTTTTGGCAGCCCATGGCACTTTCAATAGTCTCCTGCAACACCATAACTCAAAAGCATCAATTCTTCTACGGTCTTCCTTATTCACTGCCCAGCTTTCTCACGCATATGATATATAACTTTACATTGTAATTTAGGTGAAAATTTATAGAGCAAATTGATTTTCTCTTTTTGAAACATTTTATTGTGAACTGAGTGAAGGTTTATAGAACAGATCATCAGTTTTACATTCATCAAATCATATGCTTTGTTTTATCTCAATGATTGCAATCCCTTCCGTGTAACAACTGTTAATTCCACTTCTTCCCTGTAAATCTTATTTCCATCTCACCCTCCTTCTCAACCCTGAACTTTATGCTTAGGTAAATGTTGCTCTTTTGATCTTTAATGGTTGACCATTCCATTGTGAGCATATCTCACTAGTGTTGTCCCATCTATATACCTATCTAGTGCTTGGCTAAGGAGCTCTGGTGGTGTAGTGGTTATGAATTGGGCTGCGAACCTCAAGGTCAGCAGTTCAAAACTGCCAGCTGTTCCGTGGGAGAAAGATGAAGCTTTCTGCTCCCATAAAGATTTACAGCCATGGAAACCCTGTACAGGGTTGCTATGAGTTGGAACCAACTCCACGGCACATAATCACCACCACCACTACCACTTGGCTAAATATTGAGCCATGAGAGTGAGTTTAGTTCCAGACCTAAAGGGTGGTCAAGGGCCATAATCTTGGGCTCCTTCAGTTGCTTTTTAGCCTGTAAGCCTAGTCTTTTAAAATAATTTTTAGTTTAGTTTTGTTCCACATTTTCTCCCACTCTATCCAGAACTTTCTACTTGTGATCCCAAATAACGTTTCCTAGGTGGTAAATCTTAACAAGAGTAGAAAGCCTCATCTTTCTCCTGTGGAGCTACTGGTAGATTCAAATTAGCAGCCCAGCCCAGCCCAGCCCAGCTCAGTTTGTAATCCACCACATTATCAAGACTCCTTAGAAGGCACTTTAGAGACCCAGTTTTCTGTTTATTGAAAAGTATCTGACTCTGGGATTTCCCAAGACATTGCCACATGAAGTTTTGGTGGGGCGGAGAAGTGTGGGCCAAGTTTGTGTTGCCATCCTTTGCAAGATAACTGCAGTTTGGATGGAAGCTGGACACCAGCCATTTGTCTTCTGCAAGGAAAGTATATTAGCTGCAATCCATCATACCGGTTTGCTGACTCCGACTCTTTTATGATGAGTGGTGAAATTAAGTGATTACAGTAATGCACCACGTAGTGTCTGTCTGGGCAACATACAACTGCATATACGTCCATGGGTCCTTAAGGTTATGGTAGAATTCAGAAATTCCAACTAGAGAATGGGGCATATCAGATTTATCCAGATACAGAGAATGCAACCGCTTCCCCAACACAATGTGTGTAAACCATGTCTCTTGCATGCAAAGTAATTGCACCACTAGGTATACAATGGTATAGTACACTTAGAACCTATCGTACATGTCTTGATAGTCATAACAAATGTCCATGTCACTGACTGATGTATGTATGTACTGTACTATACATTTTATTATTTTAATGTGAATTTTCCCTATTTACAAATTGAAAGTTTACATATGCTTCAAATAGTAGACAGCAGCATCATAGCTTACATATTACATATCTCTTGAGTATTATCTCTCTGTTTAGTTTAATTTCAAAACTATTACTTCCAAATGCAACAAAACCTGGGCTAGTTATAGCAGCAAAAGTCAAAGGAGAAGCATTGATTTGGAAGTGAAACAAAAGATTATTAAATAAGATGGTGGCAAATCAGTGAATTCTATTACTGATTTAGTTCTATTACTAATTTAATTCTATTACTAATTTAGTTAGGAATGTCTGTTTGCTAAGTATATGATATGGTGTTTGCATAATGTCCAAATCACAAGGCAGCCTGTTTCACAGAACATATCAGGGACATTAAAGGATGCATGATTATATATTCCCCCCCCCCCCCATATTCAAAGATATGCCTGCCTGCTGGGTTTAGGTAGTAAGGTCAAGTACGATGGCCAAGGGACGTGATTTTTAGTTAGAATCAATTTTCTGTTGATGAATATGGAGAACTGTAGTTTGGAACTTGGTCAAGAGGATCTATATTCTACCTTCTGAACTTCCAGAGTGGAGAGGCAATGGGAATATTAAGGGTAGGAAAGGGGAACAGAGCCTGAAGGGAAAAGATGAGTCAGGCAGGACTTACAGAGTGATAATGTCAGGTGTTTAAAGTGCTTAGCACTGTGTTTGGCACCCATCAGCTACAAGGCAGATAGACCTCTCACCATCTTTCTCACATAGGACTGGCCTGATGCATGGAGGCCTGACAGCAAGGACACGCAAAAAAGTTAAGAAAAACCGGGATAGGGCTGGCTAAGAGTATGGGCCCAGAAATGCTAGTGTGAAGAAAACTACTCTTTATCAAGTGCCTACTGATTACCAAACATTATACTATTGGCTTCATATTTGGTCTTTATAATTCCCTATGTTGCTGTTAGGCATTGTCCAGTTGGTTCTGACTTACAGTGACTTTATCTATAACAATGAAATATTGCCTGGTCCTCCACCACCCTCACAGTTGTTGCTATGTTTGAACTCATTGTTTCAGCCATTTTGTTAATCCATATCATTGAAGGTCTTTTTATTTGGGGCTGACCGTACTTTACCAAGCACAATGTCCTCCTCCAGGAATTGGTCCCTTCTGATGACATGTCCAAAATAAGCAAGGCAAAGTATCACCATCATTTCTTTTAAGAAGCATTCTGGATGTATTTCCTCCAAAACAAATTTGTTTGTCTTCTGGCAGCCCATGGTATATTAAATATTCTTTGTCAACACCATAATTCAATTGTAACACTTGCCTAAGTAAGGCAGAGGCCAAGCTGAGAATCAGAGAGAGGCCTGCCTATAGGCATGACTAAGAAAATAGTGTCCTGATTGAAGAACTATATCTGGAACATTCATGTTGTTGTTATGTGCCGTGGAGTTGGTTCCGACTCATAGCGACCCTGTACGGGGTTTCTGAGGCTTTAAATCTTTACGGGAGCAGAAAGCCTCATCTTTCTCCCATGGAACCACTGGTAGTTTCGAACTGCTGACCCTGAGGTTAGCAGCCTGATTCGTAACCACTACGCTACCAGAGCTCCTTGAACATTCCTGTTATTTCCCTTATAAACCCTTTAACTGTGTGTATGGTCTGTGGGTTTTGTGTGGCCACTGGGAGCAACAGTTAGTATTAGAATTATCTTTACAGGAGAAGACAGCCTTCCTTGTCTTTGTCCCCTAGAGTGACTGGTAGGTTTGAACTGACAGTCTTGCCGTTAGCAGTGCAATTCTCAAACCACAGTGTCACCAGGGCTCCTTACAAATCTATGAGAGCGTGAACATGTGAAATCTATGGGAGAGGAGAGGGAGGGCAAGGGGGTGTGCATGCTTAGTCTGGTAAAGGTAAGACCAGCAAGGAGACCAGGCAGGAGCAGCCAGAGAGACTATGGAGGAAATCAGGAGTGTGGCATCTGTAGACCAGGTGATTGCAAGGAAGAGGGTGTGGTGTCCTTGCCTAAAGCTGCTCAGAGGTCAAAATGAGACCTGAGAATTGTCAGCAGGATTTAGCAACGTGGAGAACTTGGCTGGGGCAGCTTCGTGGAATGGTAGAGTCTAAAGGGTGAAGCAACTTAGAAGAGAATGGGAAGTGAGGACAGACGATGTGGATAACAGGCCATTCTTCCAAGAGTTTTGCTGTGCAGGGAAGAGGAGAAATGGGGCAGAGGAGGTGGTGAGGGTCAAGAGATTTTTTACCAGTTGCCACTGAATGGATTCTGACTCATGGCAACCCCATTTGTGTCAAAGTAGAACTATGCTCTAAAGGGTTTTCAATGGCTGAGCTTTGGGAAGTAGATTGCCAGACTTTTCTTCTGAGGTACTTCTGGGTGAACTCAAACCTCCAGTCTATCTGAGATGATATGACCTTGGTCAGCAGTGGAGCAAGTGTTTTCAATATTTGCACCACTAAGGGATTCCAAAGAATTTTTGTTATTGTTAGTAGGTGCAGCCGAGTCAGTTCCGATTCATAGTGACCTTATGTACAGCAGAACAAAACACTTCCTGGTCCTGAACCCTCCTCACAATTGGTCTCGTTGAGTGTCTTCCTCTTCTTTGCCGACCCTCCACTTTACCAAGGAGGCCTGGTAGCGTAGATTACAACCTGGGTCACTAGCTCCTGTTTCACAGGAGAAAGATTTACAGCCATAAAGATTTACAGCCTCAGAAACGTGATACAGTGTTGTTGCTACAAGTCAGAATCGACTCGATAGCACACAGCCACCACCACCACCACATTACCAAACATGACGTCTTCTCCAGGGACTGGCCCCTCCTGACAACAGGTCCAAATTATGTGAGATGACGTCTCACTATCCTCTCCTCTAAAGAGCATTCTGGCTGTACTTCTTCCAAGATAAATTTGTTCGTTCTGTGGGAATAGTGACTGAAAATTTGTGAACTGCTGACAAGTATCCAGTGGAGTGGAGCAGGGGACATGGCAGTAAAGAGAGGAGACACTAATTGAAGCCAGGTGCTTGAGCCAGGTTTGTAAGAGGTGAGATTCAGAACCAAACATTTTGTTCAGGGCTTTAACTGCCGAGTGTCAGAAAGTGCTGGATTTGAGTAATCAGAAAAGGGTGGCCTGGTAATAGGGCAGATATGGAGCAAGCCGCAGTGATAAGAACTTACGATTTTTCCTCCTCCGAACTTCAGCCCCGCCCCCAGAGTAGGCGGGATTCAAATGTATCTTCTATGAAGTGTGTCTCTCCCAGGTTGGGGACCCAGAGGCCTTGAGACTGGGCTGGGTGTGGCACCTGACAGGTTTGCACTTCGGGAGGCCACAGCAGTACTCAGAGAGGAAGCTGGAACCAGGCAGAGGGCCCGGCATGGTAGAGTTCGCACCCTTGACCGTGCCGTGGGAGCGCAGGCTTCAGACGTTCGTCGTCTTGCTATGGGTCTTCTCCTTCCTGGCCTTGGGTAAGACGGGCCCCTGGGAACTGCTGACCAGCCACTACAGAAGCACAAAGCTCATTGAAGGAGAAAAGACTTTCCGTCTGAAAGGCACTTTACAGAACCTGTCCAGAGACATCTCTTGGATCTGCCAGGTGTCCTTTAGGGGGTGGAGGAGGGGCTATGTGTTGGAGGGGCAAGCTAGGTAGAAGACAACACCCATTCAAGTTCCCCTTGGTACCTGTATGGACATCCTGTCTCAGGTCACAGGGAACGATGGAGGTGAGACAGTTCTGAGCTCCTGGGAAGGAGAGGTGTTCAGAAAGGGTGGATTTTCCTCTTTCCTCATAGTGAGGATAAAACTGAGGGAGAAAAGGTGGGGCTGAACAGAAAAGTAAGAGGGCATCCGGCAAACCTGGAGTCAGAGCCTGGCTGGGCAACTCAGCAGCCGTGTGGCCTTTGACTGCCTGCCTGCTCAGGCCTCTACTTTGTCATCTGTAGAATGGCAACAACAATCCGAACTTACAGGGCAGTTGTGGGGTTGAAATGATGAAATGCACTTAGGTTTTCTCAGCCCTTACCTGGCTGGTCCCTTGGCTGAGACCATACAGAGGGTATGGGTATGCCCCTTTGCACCCCTCCCTCACCGAGGCTCCCCCCAAACCCTCCCTGCGGTAAACACATTGATGGTATGAGGACCATTCTATTGGAGGGGATGTTTGGGGCGAGGGGCTAGGACTGTGGATTGGAAAGGAAGAGTAACTGGGAGTGTGTGGGATTTTCTGTTTTATATGCTGGCACCTGACTGGGTGGGAACCCGGGGACTGCTCTTCTGCTTGTACACAGATACAACCATCCTGACTGTGAAAATATTGACGTGCTCGATCAGGCTGCTCACTAGCCATTTTCCTGATCTCCCTTCCCTCTCCAGTGTGCCCCTAAAACCTCCACACAATTATGTACCTAAAGGATTAACCCCAGGTTAAGCAGGCCTCCAAGACCCTGCTCCAGCTTGGTTAGCATTCCTTCTGATTGCCCTGTGTCTCCATCCTAAAGGTTTTTCATGTTTTTAATATCCTGGCTTATTTCCATTACACAGATAAGCAGAGAAATTGTGTCTTTAATACCTAGCTAGGGTTGCAAAAGGAAAAGGAGGCAGAGAGATGACTGAGGGGCTGAGGGTGCTGGGAGGAGAGATGGACAACTGTGGCAGGAGAGAGCATAGGAAGGTCCGACCCTAGAGCAGGCAGCAATATTGGCTGGTTCCTGCCCATCTCAGGACAAAGGGCACTGGGGAGGAAGCCCTGAGTGGCATAAATGGTTAAGCGTTTGGCAACTAGATGAAAGGTTGATAATTTGAATCCACCCAACATGCCTCAGAAGATAATCTGCTACTGAAAGTTCACAGCCTTGAAAACCTTACAGAGCACAGTTCTACTCTGACATACATGAGGTTGTCATGAGTCAAAATCCACTTGACAGCAACTTACAGCAATGAGGCACTGGGGAGTATGAGCAGGTGATCTGTGTGCTGACCCTAACATTGCTCTCCCAGCTGACCTGCAGTTCCTTGGAGGGACCGTTGACTATTCATGGACTGGTTATCATTTTGCTTGTCTTAAATATTTGATGTTAAAATTCTTAAGAGAGTTTATGAGGGTGAAAGAAAGACTTGGCAAAAGATATTGGTGATGCACAACATGATTGAAGCAATTGATTGATGAGAATTGATCTCACGGAATTGTACACATGAAAAATGTTGAACTGCAAACGCTGTAGTATCTATTTTTATACTTAAAAATTTTTATGTGGGAGTAAAATGCATGGTTGGCAAGAAAAAGAACATCTGCAAATATATGATTGTACATGCAGAGAGAATGGAAGAATGCTCATTGATCTGGAGGAAGGAGATTGGATGCCATGGGACAAGGATGGGAAGGAGAGCAGCTTAATCTTTTTTGTGTTTATATTAAAATACATAAAAATAAATAAGAAAGAAACCAGGTAGGTCTCTCTCCCCTCAGGTAAAATCAAAGGTCTGTGCAGATTCCTCACTTTAAAGGAGCCAGCTCTAGAGAATAAAGCAAACTGTTAGCGGTGGTTACTTGGAGGCCAACATTTTGTTCTTCTGCAGTTAGAAAAACGAACAAACAAAATGTTAGACAAAAATACTGAACATTTGTATTTGACCAGAGAAGATCTCCCCTATGTCTACCCCCTTACACCCTAAGATCCCCTTTAACTCAGTTTAGCAGACAAAACCCAGACCATCGGACTATACAGTAATTTAGGAAGGGAGACACTTTTTTGTATTCCCATTCAATTCTTACAACCCTGAGAGGGAAAAGCTTAAAATACCACTTTGCAGAGGCCCAGCGAAGGTATGTAAATTGACTAAAGTCACACCGCAAGTAAGATAGGAGTTGGGATTCAATTCTACTCTTTTGGCTGTATTATGCTCCCAACATTCATTTATTCATTCAGCAAGTAACTATCAACTCTATCTCTTCTAAGGAGATGCAGTCAAGAACACGTTCTTGTGTAAGAGTGTGTGAGTTGTAGAGGAGGGGAAACAGGAAACAAATAACGAGTTTGGAAGGTACTCGTTCTGGACCTTGGGCCCTTGGTAACTGGTCCTATTGGACTTCTCCAGTCACTTCTCTGCCCTTCTCCATAATGCACCCAGAAATTCCTGAATGAGGAGTCTTGGTGTGGCGCTTGATGATAAGCACTCAACCACAAGGTTGGTTGGATCAAAAGGTCGGTGGTTCAAACTCACCGTCAGATCTTCAGAAACCCTACACAGGGTTGCTATAAGTCAAAATCGACTTGATGGCACTTAACAACGCTTGAGTGAACCAACTGTACATAGTTCCTAACTCCACCAAAAGTCTCCTTCTCCAGGAAGCCAGCCAAGGTTGGCAGTCTCAATCCATTCTATTGATGGCTTCTGTTTCCCTCCCCAGCCCAGATCTCCATTGCCATCTTCATAGGCCTCCTATTCACAAGATTCTGGCTCCTCACTGTCTTGTATGCAACCTGGTGGTACCTGGACTGGGACACACCACAACAGGGTGGCAGGAGTTTCCAGATCTTGAGGCACTGTGTTCTGTGGAAGTACATGAAGGACTATTTCCCCGTTTCGGTGAGTACTGGACTTACGGGCAAGAGGAGCTGGCTGGGATGGGGTGGGAGCCACAGTGCCCATATCTCTTGTGTAGAATACTGGGCTAGGAGGCAGGAGCTGGGCTTCCTTCACTATGTGACTTGGGGAAGAGGTTCAAATCCTCTCTGGTCTTGGTTTCTCCATCTTTACAGATGACATGTGGAGTTAATATGGGAACTGACAAAATTCAGGATCTGAAGGAGCTCTGTGAGGTATATAGAGTGTGGTGTACAAATTACCCACTGACCCAGTTTTAGGGAGCGTAGGAAATAAACTCAAAGGTCCTAAGAGGCCATCTAGCCCTACTCTTGCCTTCATGGGATGAGGAAACTGACAGTCAGATGGACAAGGGTGTAGCCAAAGTGACAAAGCAAGGTGTTCAACCCGCTTTTAAAGTCTATGTTTTGACAATGAATAAAGGTAGAGGGGAGGGAGCCTGAACTGGCTCTCAGGTTCTGTTCTGCCCCTAACTCTGGTATGCTGTGTATTCTTCGACAAAGCCTTATCCCATTTTGAGCCTCAGTTTCCCCCTCTACCCAGTAAGCACACTGGTTCCTCCCACTCTGAGTGCCTTTAAATCTCCGACTCTCTGGTTCAGGACAATTTATGGCCATTGGTGAACACTTGACCTTGGACTAAATGCCAGTCTCTGGCTTTGAATGAGGAGACCCTTCAACTCCTTTTCTGAATCCCAGATAGACAAAGGAGTTTTGGTGTGGCTCTGAAGGATAACCACAGGTCGGCAGTTTAAGCCCACCAGCCGCTCCTTAGAAACCCTATGTGTTGGAACCTACTCTACGGCACTTAACAGCAACAAGACAGACTAAACTCTTGGATCCCAGTCGCTGGACTGGAGCGATTAATTGGCCAAATGGGATAGGATAGGATAGGAAAGGCGGTGGGCACACAGAGAGGTGACTGGCAGGATCAGTTGCCTCTTCTCAGGAAGGAGAGAAGTCTAGAGCTAGACAGACTGGATTCTAACACCAGGTCTGCCACATACAGGATTATATGAGTAATAAGATTTACCTTTGTTGTGTTTAACTCCTATGCTTCTACCAGTGTCTTCCTTTGCCTTGGTCATGTGTGACCTTGGGTGAGTTACCCAGTCTTTCTCAGAGCCTCAGGTCTCACATGTGTAAAATAAGGATGATACTACATACCTTACAGGATTGTGTGGATCCAATGAGCCAAAGTAGGCAAAGTTCCTGGTAGATTCTCAGTGAATAAGTAAGCATTACGGGTAGTCCCCAGCTTATGCTGGGGTTCCATTCCAAGGACTCAGTGATAAATCTGTTCTGATGTAAGTTGAATACCTCAATTATATTTATCTTTCATTATTATTGCCTTTTATTCTCAGGATCTTACTAAATTCGATCTTTATTTGCCATTGGGGATTGGAAGCATTATATAGACTTACAGATACATTTTAACACATGGATGGTGGTGGTGCTTATGTGCCATTCTGATTTATAGTGACCTTGCATAGGGCTTCTGAGGCTGTAAATCTTCACGGGAGGAGAAAGCTTCATCTTTCTCCTGTGGAGCAGCTGGTAGATTAGAACTGCTGACCTTGCAGTTCGCAGTCCAGCCTGTAATCCACTACACATACTACCCAGACTCCTTTTTTAAAATACATACATAGATTTAAAAATACACAAATCATAAAAATGTATTCTGATCATGAAATTAACAACTGATGCTTCTGATGATATGAAATACTGAATAAAATTACATTATAAGTCTGGTCTACAGTGTAGTTGGCATCAGTGTCATAACAATGGAATCAGAGTCAAAATGGCTGTGGGGTGTACATGCATTCAAACAATCTATGTTGTTAGAATGGAGTCCTGGTGTGGTGCTGTGGGTTAATGCGCCAGACTGCAAAGCCATTTGAACTGCAAGGTCAGCGGTTCAAGCTTACCAGCTGTTCCTTGGAAACCCTATACAGGGTCGCTATGGGTTGGAATCGACTCAACAGCACTTAACAACAACAATGTTGTTAGAGTTGAACATTTCCCAACTATCTGCCCATTTGCCCATTATGACTCCCAACACTGGCTTTATTATACATCAGGACATTACCTGAGATATTGCAGTGGTTTGTTGTTGTTTTTGAAGCCTTTTATTGTGATTTGAGTGAAAGTTTACAAAGCAGTTAGGTTTTCCATTTAACAATTCATATACATTTTGATTCATGACATTGATTGCAATCTCCACAAAGTAACATCGCTCTTCCCACATCCCCTCAGTGTTTATCATTGCCATCCATCCATCTTTCCCAGCCCTTCTTGTCTTCTGAACTTTGCCCTTGAGCATATGCTGCCCTTTTGCTATCATGGTTGGTTGTTCTAAGGAGTGCTTTCTTCCCTGGTGTTATTGATCACTTTATAGGCCTGCCTATTGTTTGGCTGAAAATTGAGTTAAAGGGGTGAGTTCAGTTCCAGGTTTGAAGGGTGTCCAAGGGCCATAGTAAGGAGCTCTGGTAGGGTAGGGGTTATGAATCGGGCTGCGAACCGCAAGGGCAGCAGTTCGAAACTACCAGCTGTTCTGTGGGAGAAAGATGGGGCTTTCTGCTCCCGTAAAGATTTACAGCCTCGGAAACCCTGTACAGGGTCGCTGTGAGTCAGAACCGACTCCACAGCACACAACAACAACAAGAACAAGGGCCATAGTGTTGGATATTTTACCAGTCTCGCTTATCAGACCAGTAAGCCTGGTCTTTTTTATGATTTTTAGTTTTGTTCCACATTTTTCTCCCACTCTGTCCAAGACCTCATATTGTGGTCCCTTTCGGTGCCTTGTTTATCACTGAGATTCCCAGATGGAAAGCAGAGTAGTTAATCCAATCAGTTATTTACCAGTTATTTATTGAGAACCTGGTGAATGCTGAACTCTATGCCTGGGGACTGGAGGGCAGAGATTGGAGTGAACAAGGCAGCCTAGTGCAGTGGGGGGATTCCTGGGTGTAAACAGTTACGGCACTGGCCTACTAATCAAAAGATTGGAGGTTTGAGTCCATCCAGAGGTACCTTGGAAGAAAGACCTATTGATCTACCTCCAAAATATCAGCCACTGAAAATGCACAGTTCTACTGCACTGTGGGTTAATGTGCCGGACTGCAAAATTGGTAGTCCAAGCTCACCAGTCACTCCTCAGAAACCCTGTACAGGGTGGTTATGGGTCAGAACTGACTCGACGGTGCTTAACAACAACACTCTGACACACCTGGGCCACCCTGTGTCCTGGCTTGACAGTAGGGGTAGTTGGGCACCATTGAATTCTTCTGGTCTCAGAGTTGTGGATGATGTTCAATGCTCCATTAATCCTTTGGACTAATTGGTTGCCATGTATCTTTGATTTTCTTCACTTTTGTTTGCTCTGAAGGAAGAAAGATCAATAGTTGAACTTTAAGACACCAGGTGATACCAAGTTAGATGTAGAACACTGACATAATATAGTCTTTGTGGACCATGTTATGCCAATTAACCTTGATGTTCCCCAAGACTATGATCCTCAGCCCCCAGGCCTATTGACTCAATCCCTCAAGGTATTTGGGTATGGCTAAGACATTTTGGTGTGACACTTGGGGTTTTAATGCACCAGACTGCAAAGTTGTTGGACTGCAAAGTCAGCAGTTCAAGTTCACCAGCTGTTCCTCGGAAACTCTATACAGAGTTGCTATGGGTTGGAATCAACTTGATGGCACTTAACAACAAGACATTTTCATAACATTGCCCCCTGTCCTACTGTTCTACTAAATCACAGATATGTTTGCAGCACATATAAATACATATGCAGAAATATCCCTTGTCAAACATATTTATTTGTGGGTGTAAATTCATTCACCTTCCTATTCCTGTTCAGCTGGTGTGTCTATCCATGGATCCATCATTGGGAGATCATTGTTATTAGTGCTTTACAGGATTATGTACAAAGGTAATAAGATTTACCTTTGTTGTGTTTAACTCTTATGCTTCTACCAGTGTCTTCCTCTGCCTTGGTCATTTTGTGCTCATCTCCCCCTTATTGTATATTGCACAAGGGTAAGTCAAAAATTATCCGCACTGTGGCTGTAGAATTTATTTTAATAAACTTTGAGAAAAGACAAGCACATCAGTTTTCAACACAATCTTCTTGCTTTTCAAGACGCTTAGTCAATCTGTCAACAAGCTTTCCTATTGTCTTATGAAAAAGTGTTTTAGACTGAGCTTCGAGCCACAAATGCACCACTGCCTTCCCTTCATCAGAGGTGAATCTTCATCTTTGAGGGCTGCTTTCAGGGATCAAACAGGTGAAAGTCTGATGGAGCAAGATCAGGACTATAGGGAGGATGCTATAACACCTCAAAACGAAGTTTTTGCAGAGTGTCAATAGTGTGGGCAGTGATGTTCCGAGGTGCATTGTTATGCAAGATCACACTGTCCTTGACTAGCAGTCCTCTACATTTAATCTGAAGCTTAGGCTCCAGTTCTTCAGTGAGCATCTCACTGTACCGAGCACTGTTGATTGTTGAGTTGGGCCTTTTTCCTGATAGTGTTCCAGTACTGACCCTTGAGAATCCCAGAAAACCAAACATCAATTTTCCAGCTGACAGTTGACTTTTGAATGTTGTCTTGGTCAGCTAATGAGAATGTTTCCATTCCCTACTCTGCCATGTACTCTCAGACTCATAGTGATGAATCTATGTCTCATCACCAGTAATGATTTCTTAAAAGAAACTTTTACTTTCCTTCCAAATTTTGTTTGCAGATGTCTAAACACTTCTCTTTATGCTCTTACATGAGTTGTTTTGGTACCCAGCTCTCACAAACGTTTTGAAACCCGAGTCTGTGGTGAATTATTTCATAGGCAGAACCATGGCTGATTTGCAAATGATTTGCCACATAATCCACTGTCTCTCATCTATTCAACAGAATCAGTTCACATGCACACTCAGTGTTCTCATCAGCCATGGAGTGAATGGGCTTTTTAATATA